CTAACTAAACCTGCCGTAGAGAAACCATGGTCCATTCTTGACGCCCTTTTTTTGGTCAAGTGACAAACGGATAGAGAGGAGAGGGGAAAATGGGATACTGGAAGCGCAATGCGCAGTGGTGGTAGATAAAGGACTCTTGCCAACCCCCCCCCCCCCCCCCCTCTCTTTTTTCCACTTTTGCATTCTCTAGCTGATAGGCCACCAAATAATTTATGATGGATAGATCCATCGGCATCCAGTTGAGACGGAACCTTATTACATACGCTCCGAAATTAAACGAGAACTCTTATTTCACCAAGCAAAGGAGAGCCAATGCCTCTCAGTATAAAGGAAATGGCAGTCTACTTGCATGCCAAGCTGGGCAGGGAGGGGATATGCCGCCCCCCTCCCCTTGCCCGCCCCACCCGCTTCCCCTCCATCCTTCCTCCTCCCTTGCTCCCTCCACCCCTGCGCATGCGCAGTAATCTTTGTGGACGAAAGAGCCCTCCTACCTACCTCCCTGGCCCATCGATAGACGCCAACCAACCATAGCTCTCCCTGAGTTCTCCGACTCTGTGAACCTTTGTGAACATACAAATTCATAACCCTCAGTGTCATCAATGAAGGTCAGAGCGGATGCATGATGGGGAATAAGATCGACAACACGTGTCCGAGATGTACAAGACTTGCGAGTCTTTTCCACTTCTGAACGAGGGCATATTCACACGGGGACTTTTTCAGCTTATCTGTGGACAGCGTTGCGGCCAGGTGCGTCAACGCCTGACCATAAAAGCGGTCCGATTCATCCCGGAAAGTCCTCGTGAGAGTATGCCCTGAGAGACCGAAAGAGGGTAATCCTCAACTTTGTTGTGTCCGAATGAGCAGAGGTGACAAATACTGAGTCGGCATTCACTGGACATGCAGACAGCGGTAAACTGGATGGACAAATCTGAGGCATTTCGCCATCGTAGACGCTAATACGAGGCCCCCAACCTCCAGTCGTCCTGGCGGCAGACGCGGCGCGGGGCATTGCATCTGTGATGCCATTGCCAACACAAGCACAGTCGCGAAACGGAACATCTCGGAGACAGACGAAACTTGTGCGGCAAAACCCATAACCAGTGCTGTGTTCGGCGTATAGCTGCCAAGGACCTGCACAAAGTAAAGTCTGTTGCCTGCACATGTACTACACTACACATGCCAGTCACCTCAGACCCCTGCTACGCTTCTGAAAAGCCATGTCCAGCGCCGCTCTCCTCCTTAACCATGCTTCCAACTCAGTATCCCATGAGTCATCAGGTAAGAAGATGTACGAAATCCCCGAAGCAGGACGTAGCAGCAACTCTTTTCAACCCTCCAGTGCCGCTCTCCCCCTTACCATGCTTCGAACTCAGTATCCCAAGAGTAGACAGGTGCGGAGACGTACGGTCTATATGAGAGAATCGAGATTCGTGGTTGGTATCCCTGAAGCAGGACGTACTAGCAACTCATTGTCGACCGTCTGATTACAAACTTATAAGAAGTCTTCACCGTTGGATGAAACAATGCAAATCTGGTTTACGCAAAACTCAATCAAACAAATGACAAGTGTATCAGTGATTCAGTAGAGTATTCAGTCAGCCTTCCCAGGAAGATTTCTCTGAATACCACGTTAGGAGTGTAAGCGGGCGACCAAAACGAATCAGGGACGCTGATCTAAATTTAGATGACAACAACAGTCTAAGAGACTACATAGCAAATGAATTTCGCTAATCGCGTGAGTCAGACAACAATATGTATATTTTGTGATAGATAGCTGTTCAGCCCCGCAAGGAGGGCTCAGAAAATGGCAAAAAAAATATGACACCCGCTTGACGAACAAACCACCCCTCCCGCCAAGCCCCTTTCCTTCTTATCGCCCTCACCTCTCMGCACCCACCCTGTTATGTCCGCGCGTGAAACTCCTTCCTACGCACATTTGCCGCTAGCTATCTTTTCTCAAGCCTTGGCACCATCCATAACAGCCTAATATACTATGTACAGACAAACGCTGCATACTGGCTCCCTCCCTCTCCCAATCACTCATTCTTGTGTTTTGCGGCAGATTAGAGAGCCTCAGTTGCCGCTGAATCGCCGCTAACAGGAGTTAAGGACACGAGTGCGTCAGCAGAAGGTCCGTTCGCATGTCACATAACATGGAACCAAAAGCCTTCCTTAATATACGCGACCGGAAGCAATCCTATGACATCCTAACCACCTTGTGCTCTTCTCTGAGAGGCCACTCACTCTTCTCCCTCTGCCGYGTCAGTGTCAGCAAGCACATACTCACAATCCACAGATAATAATACAGCYAATAGGCCCAATACTCATTCAAAAAGGSCATCTAARGGGGGCATGCTCACACTAGGACTTCTTAGACTCACCTCTGGATGTGATTGCGGTCAGATGCATCCGAAGTTTCCGAACSCAGACGTACCTGCCRTCAGATACATTTAGGAAAGTGCTAGTGTGAGTCGGGCATCTAAAAGAATACCTCTCACAGGAAGGAGGAACGACAGGACAGCGACACGTCATGTATCTCATCATGGCTGTCTGTGGCCAACGGGAATGACAGCAGCAGCGGGCATTTACGCCCATAGATTTGCTGTCTGTGGCCAAATGGCCGTTAACATCACTCGCCGGGGGTCACCCCTAGGCCAAATGGCACATTCGCACACCCAGCAAGACAGGACGCACGTACCACCTCTCCCCATGCACACGTACATTGCCTGTTGACCGCACGCCCATAGATTTGCTGTCTGTGGCCGAATGGCCGTTAACATCACTCGCCGGGGGTCACCGCTAGGCCAAATGGCGCATTTGCACACCCAGCAAGACAGGACGCACGTACCACCTCTCCCTATGCACACGTACATTGCCTGCTGACCACACCCCCCCCCCCCCCCCCCCGGCCCTCTGCCGCTGCCTGACAATCTTCATCATCATTAAACCGGCAAAATGAAAGCCACCGAAAGACCAGAAAACGTCAGGACGATGGTGATTCCTTAAAACCCCAGGGGTCACTGACTGGCACTCCTCCAATGTATTATGGCATCCAACTGACGCCGACCGCAAATGACACCCGCCTGCAGCTGAGTCGCCACTAACGATGGCTCCCTGCAGCCACAGAGCCTCCATAAACGATGGCTCTCGACAGCCACCTACATGTGCACTCTCCTCTCACCCTGCCGTAGCTCAAGAGCAATCAGCAAGCGGTGCTGCTAACGCTTAACTCTCTCTCTCTCTCTCTCTCTCTCTCTCTCTCTCTCTCTCTCTCAAAAAATAACTCCTGGTTTCACGAGCTCCAGGCACACTCCCGCTGCTGAGAGTGCCACAGGGGTGGTGGTGAAATTTGCATCCTCTTCCGCGTTTCGTACCCAGAAATTGTAAACTTGATTACTGAAGGATGGAATGCATATATAATACCATAAAACCATCGCCGAAATGACAAGTGTCCAACTATGCTTTGCCGGTTCGCCACGGCTTGAGCACGGACACAACGATTATGATGATGATGATCAGAAGAATGATGATGGCACAACACATCCACTGCAACCACAGCGCACAGAAAGTCCACAAAACAGGCAGCTTGTTAAAATTTAGACTTAAAATTACCCAGCCCGCGTGGCCGAAGAGTACCCTCACATGTAACTGCTAATCTGCAATCAAACGGCTCCCCTCACATGTAACTGTTAATTGGCAACCAAACGGCTCTCTTCTTTTTCCCTTTTTTTCTCGGTTTACTCATCTACAGTGACCACAG